ATATAATATATTATACATAATATATAAAATTTATACGTAAAAGATCCATACTCTTCATTTAATTTGATGGTTAGTAATTATTATTGCTATTAATAGCTTAAAAGAATTTTTTAATATGTGCCATACCCATATATTACCCATATAATAAGAGTATAATTATTATACATTTTTACTAATAATTCACAAGGACAAAATAAAAACTAATTTAAATTTTGTCAGTTGTCTAATTAAATTGTTCTATATGACATTAGTGTTGAAAATAAATTTTATTTTTATAATTTTTTATACAAATTAATAATAAAAAGATACAATAAATATACATTAACACACGTTAAGAGACTTTATTATTATTATTTTTTTGAATAAGACAAATACAATACAACTAAATATTAGAGGGTAAGAGATTAATGTAAGTGGTTGAGCTTGAACTTAGGACCTACGTAACACACCATTGAGCCATGTACGTGGTTGGCTTAAAAAAAAGAAAAAAACACACCCTAATTTAAGTGTTCTTATTTATTAGATGAAGCGAAACCACTAAAATTAATTTCTGAATTCCAAACAACCCTACTAAATGCCTGTTCCAACATTTAAAGATCCAGCTCGATTCTATTAACTCCTCTCATGCTTGGGCTGATTGCCGAACGCGTTGATCTTGAACAGAGACAGATACCAGGCTTGCCAGCCCAGCATCAAGCTAGGCCTTGAAACGGCCCAATAAAATTGTTGGGATTAAGAATCCAAAATTTCTTGGTTTGGTTGGCCCAAAAATGTTAGAGATTTTTACGAATAGACTACGTACGGAGTAAGGACCCAGTTCAATTTTACGTGACAATTTATTTTTAAAAATTTTGTTTTTTTCTCTTTTCTTTTTCGAACAATTACATTTGGGGAGGTGAAAAGTGAAAACTATATATATATATATATATATCTATTTTTTCGTTTTGAAGTAAAAAGAATTAAATGTGAGAGTTTGGGGGAAGAGTGGCGTTTCAAAGTGATGCGCATCAAACGCCCACTAGGTCGCCTCAGAAAAGTATTTCAATGCAAAATACATAAAAAGTTAATATGTTAAATGTTTCTCATACTATTTCAAAAATTTTTTTTTACTATGTTAGATATTTCTCATGTCTTTTCACAAATTTTTTACATCACGTGACAAGTTCTCATTTTACATCATAAATTTCATATTAAAAACTAAATATCCTTAAAATTTGAGAATACCGAATAAAAACCTTATCTTGTATTCATATTACATTGAATATTTTGTCTCATGATAGGAGGAGTTTGATTTGTTAACTTAAAAGAAAAAAAAAAAAGAAAAAGAAAAGAAAAGATAAGAATGTAAGTCAAATAGTTAAAATATAGATACTGAGTAATATTTATGCAATTGAGTTTTTGATCTAAAGTTCTAAACCAACCTTATATCTGCTGATCACATTATGTCCAATGATAAAGGATTTAGAATATATTTGGTGAAATTTATAAAAATTTTAGATTTTTGATACTATTTAGTTTCATAAGTTTAAATTTATCTCTTAAAACTTTACATTTTTTTATTTTTTAAACCTTAAAAAAATCTTAATTAACCTTAAAAGAAATCTTAAATAGTAAATTTTGAAAAGTTTCAAATTTATGTTTTTTTATAAATTTCTTTTTTACTCATTTCTTACTCATTCCTTTCTATTTTTAAAAACAACTTTAAAATTTTTCTTCCAATAAAAATTTAAACCTATAACTTATAAACAATATAGAAAAAGTAAAAACTCATACAAGTTTCACCAAATATGCCCTTAATGGTCTAGCATTCAAGTCTTGGGTTGTAACCCAGCCGTTGACATTAATCCCCTCCCCCTTAAGTTTGTAGTGTAATTGGTTATGTTAAAAAATAAAACTAGAAAAAAAATTACATAGTATGGTTAATTCCTTACTTTATTGATCAAAATTTCTTTCTCAATATAAAGTTGTAAAAT